AAGCCTAAACTCTGAACCTACACTCTGAGCCTGAACCCTCTAAACCACTAAGCCACTCCTGACACCACTAAACCCCTTTAAACCCCTTTAAACCTCTTTAAGCCCCTTTAAACCCCTTTAAACCCCTTCAAACCCCTTAAAACCCCTTTAAACCCTTTAAACCCCTTTAAACCCCTTTTAAACCCCCGTTAAGCCCCTTTAAACCCCAAAACCCCTAAACCTTAAACCCTAAACCCTGTTTTAGGTGTGTTGGGATTGACCCCGGGTAGGGCGATGCCAAAGCCAAAGACAAGGAGAAGGAGACGAAGGCGGTCTTCTGGGTGCAGGGTTTAGGGTTTAGGGTTTAGGGTTTAGGTAAACAGAAGCCTGAAACCCAAAACCCTAAACCCTAAGCCCCAAACCAGCCCTCCAAGCTTCAGTCTCCGGATTCATATTTTCATGGTCTACCTTGAATCTTCTATTTGCTGCTTGCTATGCTTTTTCCAGCCCGTCTTTTTCATTCAGGGTTCAGGGTTTTTCGTTTAGGGCTTAGGGTTCAGGGTTGTATTGGAAAGTTGTTACAAAGATAGCGCCTGCGGGAGCGGACAGAGCTGAACACGATCTGAATGCAGTGCAAACATCTTACGTCAGCCTGTGAACTCACTAATCTCTGCTAGAGCACGAGGGCGTTAGAGGCGTACTAGTGCAATCAGAATCCCATTGCGATCCACACGTATTCATATACACCCCTCTTAGTTCAACCTCAGTTTACCCCTTCGCTGCCCTCGAATGTGAGCCCTACACCCTAAACCCTGAACCCTGAACCCAGGGGTGTCTTCGTTTTTGTTGGTTGAGGGTTAAAACTGCTTAGGGTTTCGGGTTTAAAAGCTTAGCCTTTGACCTTAAAGTGTACGTTTAAGGTTTTTAAGGTTTCTTTAACCTTAAATGAAAGCGTATGTAGAGTGCAGGCCCCAAGCCCTGAAACTAAACAACCAGGCCCCAAGCCTGAACCTTAAACCTCGAACCCTAAGCCCTAAGATCACCCAACGTAAACCTCCAAATGTCCTATACCCCCTGAGCCCTAAAACCCTAAACCCCAAACCCGAAACCCTAAACCCTAGACCCTGAACCCTAAACGGCCCTCACTCCCCAAACCCCAATCCCTGACACCCTGTGGCCCTAAAGCGGAAAACTAAGAAGCCTTAAAACACCAGATCAACCCACGTAGAACACCTCACAGAACCACCCTAAACTCTGAACCCTAAACCCTAAACCCAAAACCCTAAACCCTAAACCCTAAACCCTAAACCCTAAACCCTAAACCCTAAACCCTAAGCCCTAAACCCCAAGCCCTCAACCCTAAACCCGAAACCCTCAATCCCAAACCCTTTTAAAAGCCGAAGCAGCCCGAATATGTAGATACACCCGTTTAAACGCAAAGCAGCCTTAAGCCCTGAAGGAAAAACTAAACAGACGCACATTAAAACAAAACCCTGGGGCCCTAGACCCTAGACCCTACTCTAGACTCTAGACCCTAAACCCTAAACCTTAAACCCTAAACCCTAAACCCTAAACCCTAAACCCTAAACCCTAAACCCTAAACCCTAAACCCTAAACCCTAAACCCTAAACCCTAAACCCTAAAACCCTAAACCCTAAAACCCCTAAACCCCTAAATCCCAAACCCTAGCACCCCTCTATACCCCTCCCTCCCAGATCCCTTAAGTCAGGATTATGCCCTACTTTATACTAAGGATTCTTCCTATGAACAAGGGAAGATGCCCTACTTTGTACTAAGGATCCGTATTATGCTTGATTGAGGAACATACCCTACTTTATACCAAGGATCCTGATTTATGAATAAGGGTACATTCCTTACCCTAAACCCTAAACCCTAAATCCGAAACCCTAAACCCTAAACCCTAAACCCTAAACCCTCAACCCAAAACCCTAAACCCTAAACCCTAAACCCTAAACCCTAAACCCTAAACCCTAAACCCTAAACCCTTTTTGGAAGATCTGGGCTCCGCAGGGCGACGTGCCGGAGGCGCCAGCTGCGGACCCGGCGCGGGGCCGACGGAGGGGTTTTTGGGAGTGTTTACGGGGTCTTAGTTGGGGTCCAGGGTTGAGGGTTTAGGGTTTGGTGTTTAGGGTTTAGGGTTGAGGGTTTAGGGTTTGGTGTTTAGGGTTTGGGGTTTAGGGTTTAGGGTTTGGGGTTTAGGGGTTTATGGGCTTAGGGGTTTCGGGTTTTTGTTTTGTTGACCCAGAACATTGTCACAAGACCACCCTACTTGGAGGTTCATGGAACGTATTAACCAATTATAACTGTACTTGTAGGGTTTAGGGAAAAGGGTTTAGGGTACTTACAACTGTACTTATAACCGTATTAGGGCACTTAACGGGCTTAACAGTGGGTGATAAGACAGTTGTAAATGGTTAACTTCGGCTCGCCGTTAATTTCCCAAGCCCACAGGCTTAAGGGTTTATGGTTTAGGTTACGGTTGAGGGCTTTGGGTTTTAGGGTTTAGGGTTTAGGCATAGGGCTAGGGTTTAGGGTTTAGGGTTTAGGGTTTAGGGTTTAGGGTTTAGGGTTTAGGGTTGAGGGTTGAGGGTTGAGGGTTGAGGGTTTAGTCAGGATTAAGGGTTTAGGGTTCCATGTACCTTGCTAGTATCTACTTGAGCCCAAAAACCCCATGTCGGCGATCAACAGGGGTTTAGGGTTGAGGGCACAGGTTTTTACAGTGGTTAGGGCGTTAGGGCTTAAGGTTTAGGGTTTAGGGTTTAGGGTTTAGGGTTTAGGGCAGATACAGCAAGTGTTGACTTTCTGGAAGGCCCTAAGCCTCATGCCTAAAAGCTAAGCCTCCCAACTCTTCTGATGCAGCCAACACCTAGGGGGTTTTGGGGTTTAGGGTCTTGGGCTTAAGTGCTTAGTTTGGGGCTTGAGGGCTAGGGGTCCTAGCCCTAAACCCTAAACCCTAAACCCTAAACCCTAAACCCTAAACCCTAAACCCTAAACCCCAAACCCCAAACCCCAAACCCCAAACCCTAAACCCTAGAACCCTAAACCCTAAACCCTAAACCCTAAACCCCTCGGGGGTTTACGAACTGAGGCCAAGAAGGAGCTCAAAGCGCAGGTCAACGCCGCGGGTCGGGCCCGGGCCTTGTTTGGGGTTTGATGAGGGTTTGGGGTTTAGGGTTTAGGGTTTAGGGTTTAGGGTTTAGGGTTTAGGGATGTAGGGTGTAGGGTTTTTGCCGGTTGCAGGTTTTGTTTGTTTGCTCGGTCGTAGGATCGTCTAAGGAGTTCTGCTTTGTGGATTTTGGGGGGCGTTTTGGGCGTCGGACTCAGAATAGTTTGGGATGGGACGTTGTGCACAGTGGAGGGTGCTTCCGTTAAATCCTAAACCCCTAAACCCTAGACACCCCAAACCCCAAGTTTCGTAAGGGGTCGCCGTTTGAAGGGCCCATGAATACCGAGGCGCTGGCGAAGAAGAAGCGCGAGGTCATAGACAAGTATGGGGTGGAGGCCTAATCCCTAAACCCTAAACCCTGAACCCTAAACCCTGAACCCTAAACCCTAAACCCTGAGCCCCTAAGCCCTAAACCCTAAACCCCAAGCCCAAAACCCCAACCCCTAAACCTGGTTCAGGGTTTAAGTTGTGAGAAGACACCGCTTGCTTGTAATCTCCATAGGGGGCCTACCAAAACAGGGGCCCTGAAGCGTAGGTCATGAGGACCACTTTAAGCAAACCCCCTAAGCCCCCCTATATGAAATAGGGTTTACATTTCTGTTATTGGTGAGTGTATACAGGGTTCCTTATAATGTTGGTGAGTGTATATATTGGGTGTCCTTTTGGGGACACTAGCAATCGTTGTGTCAGTCCTGTGAACTCAGTTTCAAAACTCAGTTATGATGCTGTCGTTTATTTGTGTAAGTGGTGGAAAGCTGTTCTTTCCACGTGGGGATGGTTGTTGATCATTGGCAAAGGGCAAGCATTTTGTTCTGCCTTGTGATGTCACTGCTCGGGACGGTTTCTGTAAAGCATGGGGAGCTCTCAACCCTAAACCCTAAACCCTACACCCTAAACCCTAAACTCTAAACCCTAAACCCTAAACCCTAAACCCTAAACCCTAGACCCTAAACCCTAGACCCTAAACCCTAAACCTAAACCTGAGGTAGCAGGTCGGTTGAGGGCTCAGGGATCTGGGCTTAGGGTTATAAGCAATCCTGAGGTTGTAATATAGGGGTCGGAAGACTTACAAAAACCACCCAAAACCCCATTTTGATTGTTTAGGCCCCTGCATTTCTCCGCAGGGCTAAGGTTTGTTGGAAAAGGGGTGTAGGGTTTAGGGTTAGCTGGGCTCAGGTGTCGGCTTTCTGAACCCTAAGCCCTCTTAACCCTCACCCGGCCGTGACGCTGCCGTCGTTCGTGGCTCAGCAGCCGTTCCGCACCCCAAACCCCTATACCCTAAACCCTAAACCCTAAACCCTAAACCCTAAATTCTAAACCCTAAACCCGAAGCTACAAGCCCCAAGCCCGAAACCCCCAAGTCCCAAGCCCCTTGCCATGGCAGGGAGACCTCCCAGGCCCCAAAGGGTGCAGAACGTCAGTAGGGCCTCCTCGGGTTTAGGGCTTAGGGTTTAGGGTTTAGGGTTTAGGGTTTAGGGTTTGGGGTTTAGGGTTTAGGGTTTAGGGTTTGGGGTTTAGGGTTTTAGGTTTAGGGTTTTAGGGTTTAGGGTTTGGGGTTTAGGGTTTTAGGTTTAGGGTTTTAGGGTTTAGGGTTTGGGGTTTAGGGTTTTAGGTTTAGGGTTTTAGGGTTTAGGGTTTGGGGTTTAGGGTTTAGGGTTTAGGGTTTTGGGGCTTCGGAAAGGGGGCACGGCCCAAGTGGCGTCCCCTCTGATGGACCAGGCTGGGTCATAATATATTTTAATACTACATTTTTGGCCTTCTTAGATTCCCAAGAAGGGCATCTTAAGATGACCAGGTTTAGCATAACCCCCAACAATGAAGCAGCAGGGAGGCTATGAGGCTGGCTGCTGCCGGTGCTGCCGGTGCCCTGCTGTGCTCGGCAGAGGTCCGCGGCGCCAGCTTGCAGCAACGCTGCGCTGCGGCCGTGCGGGCCAGGCGCGCGGTTTAGGGTTTGGGGTTTAGGGTTTGGGTTTAGGGTTTAGGGTTTAGGGTTTAGGGTAGTTTAGGGGGACACTTCACGCGAGCTCGGCTCCTTAAGCAGCTGCAGCCCTTCAAGAACACCAAGAAAAAGCTCCGAAACTCCCGCGAAGAAACCTAAAGATATGTAAGCAAGGCCCTCAAAGCCCCGCTCCAGGGCGCCGAACCCTTCAAGGTTTGAAGGCCGAAAGCGTAGATTATCGACCCCAGAGCCCTGAAACCTTACAACCCCCTCCCCCCCCAAAACCCTAAACCCTAAACCCTAAACCCTCAACCCTAAACCCGAAACCCTAAACCCTCAATCCTGAGCCCGCAACAACCCCGAAGACTCCCTGAAGGCCTTGCGTCCCAAAGCCCTCCACCCCCGGCGGTTTAGGGATTAGGGTTTGGGGTTTAGGGTTCAGGGTTTAAGGGTTCAGGGTTTAGGGTTTAGGGTTTAGGGTTCAGGGTTTAGGGTTTAGGGGATTTAGGGTTTAGGGTTTAGGGTTGAAGGGTTCAGGGTTTAGGGTTATGTCCTAAGGCCCTCCATCCGGCCAACCCCCCGAAATGGCTGAACCAAAACTGAATTCAAGCCCGAGTGAGCTGAAAAGGCACCCACAGTGCACCCCAACAGCCCCCTTGTTTCCCCCCCCCCCCTCCCCCCCCCCCAAAGTTGCAGTAGGGTTAGGGTTTAGGGTTTAGGGTTTAGGGTTTAGGGCTTAGGGTTTAGGGTTTAGGGTTTAGGGTTTAGGGCTTAGGGTTTAGGGTTTAGGGTTTAGAGTTTGGGGTGTGAGGGATAAGGGGCACCCCCCGTTTAAGGGGCCATACTACGGGACCATGTAACTACCCTAAGAGCCTAAACCCTAAACCCTAAACCCTAAACCCAAAACCCTAAACCCTAAACCCTAAACCCCAAACCCCAAACCCTAAACCCTAAACCCTGAACCCTTGCAACCCCTGAGGTGGGGAGGTCCACCACCGCGACCTCAGCCACCCCCGCCCGAAGCTGCCGGCTCCACGTTGGAAGCGGCGCTCACAGGAAGGGCGTTTGCCGGAAGTTCGGGTGTTGGGGGCTTCGGGTTTAGGGTTTAGGGTTTAGGGTTTAGGGCTTAAGGTTTAGGGTTTAGGGTTGAGGGTTGAGGGTTGAGGGTTTAGGTTTAGGGTTGAGGGTTTACGAGGTTCGGGGTTGAGGGTTTCGAGTCTGATCCCAGGGCTCAGAGGGAACTCGGCGAGTAAAGGACGAGCAGCTTGCTTTCCAAGTTTCCGAGTCTACAAGAACGGGTTTAAGGTCCTAAACCCTAAACCCTAAACCCTAAACCCTAAACCCTAAACAGCCTAAACCCTAAACCCTAAACCCTAAACCCTAAACCCTAAACCCTAAACCCTAAACCCTAAACCCTAAACCCCAAACCCTCAACCCTCAACCCTCAACCCTAAACCCTAAACCCTGGAGCCCCGAAGCCAGCGGGGACACAGCCAGGGTTTCGGGTTTAGGGTTGAGAGGTTTAGGGCTTAGAGGTCCAGGGTTTAGGGTGTAGGGTTTAGGATCTAGGGTTTAGGGAGGGGTTAGGGTTTAGGGTTTAGGGTTTAGGGTATAGGGTTTAGGGTTTAGGGTGTAGGGTTTAGAGTTTAGGGTTTAGGCTGAGACATTCAGAGGGTTTAGAGTGTAGGCTTCCCCCAAGTAGCACGGGTGCAATGGGATCATTGGCTTGTTTATCTCCCTGAGACCCGTGAAGCCCAGCAAATGCCAGCAAACCTCCAAAGGCCCCACAGCCTAAACCCCACACCAAATGCTAGGGTTTAGGGTTTAGGATTTAGAGTTTAGGGTTTAGGGTTTACCCCACACCAAATGCTAGGGTTTAGGGTTTAGGGTTTAGGGTTTAGGGTTTAGGGTTTAGGGTTTAGGGTTTAGGGTTTAGGGTAAAACCTAAGCCCTAAACCTCAAACACTGAAGAACGCTTCCTTAACAGACTTTGTAAACACAGGAAGTTGGCCCCCTTAGGGTTTAGGGTTTAGGGTTTAGGGTTTAGGGTTTAGGACCCCTAAAGGTTCCCCTGAATATGCTCCGAAAAATCCCCTTATGCTCCCTTAGGGCTCCTTAAAAAGGGTCCCCCCCAATTCCAAGGGTACAACCTCAGCGGTCCAAGGCAAGCCCTGAACCCAAAACCCGAAACCCTAAACCCTCAAACCCTAAATCCTAAACCCTAAACCCTAAACCCTAAACCCTAAACCCTAAACCATAAACCCTAAACCCTAAACCCTAAACCCTAAACCCTAAACCCTAAACCCTGCAGGAAGTCGGCCCCCCGACGTCTACCTAAAGACCGAGGATGTCGAGGAGCTACTTTGCGATTTTCAAAAGCAGGGGAAGCCTTAGG